TCTGTGGAGATTTTTACTGACTGTGGCTACAAAACAGGATGTTTCTCAAACACTAAAGGAAAAAGGCCAAAGAGTCAAGTTTGGCTTTTGCAAGAGAAAGGGAAAGAAAAAAAAATTGTAGTTCCAGAGTGTGCTTGCTAGGAAGAGCTCCTTCATGGCAGTGGGACAAGGCTTGCTGGGTGCTGTGGAGTCACCTGGTGAGAAGTGCAGTTCCTAGAGACTGGAGCAAACAAACATTAGCAGCACTCTTGACTCTTCCTTTCCCATCTGCACTTCCTGCAGCATCCCTGGGCACCACATGAACACCCAGCAGCAGGCATGGCTGGGCCACAGGTGGCAGTTTGCCATGTTCTGCAGTCACACCAGCAAACATCTGCAGAATTAACAGGGTTTTATCCTTGCTGATCTAATCCATTCACCCATGAGTGCAGGGAATGCCAGTCAGGGTGGAGTTTCATTTTCAAGTGTTGCTGCAGGAAACCAGAGTTACTAAAAATATTGTGAAGCTCTGACTGGAATTTCATAAAATCATAGAATGGCTTTAGAATGGACCTTAAAGATCTAGTTTCAACCCCACGACTGTGTGCACAATTTGGGACATACACTTGTTAAATCCAGAAAACTCAGAGCTGAAAATTAATTTTCATCTATAGGGTTTTTTTTCCCCCTGTGTAAAATTCTTTCTGTATCCTATCTCAAACAAAAACTACATTACATGTGATTATCTAGACACTGATTTCAAAGGGGCAGTGCAGCAATAGTCTCTAAAATATTTAAGACTGAAATGAACTGGGAAGTCAGGCCTTTCATGCTCACTTTTGATACTAAACTAAAAATTCACGTTTGGTTTGTCATCTTCATGGTAACTTGGGTGGTCATGGAACAGGGAGGTTGCAGCAGTCTCTAAATGCGAGTTGGCATCAGTTGTTTTTCCAGAGTAGTTAAATTTATGAGGTTATCATTTGCTTGTTTTCTTCATACCTAATTACAGATTTGGATAAGAGTAGTTTTAGTTAAAATTTCAAAAACTTTCAAGTGTGACATTGCTCACAGTAAACATCTTTGAGGCTGCCAAGAAAAAAACAAACTAGCTAAGCCTGACAGGAGCAAAATGGATAGTCCTGGTAATTATGAAATAAAATTCAGAATAATTTTGATTAAAACCCCAACCCTTCTAGTTAATTTCTAACACATTTATATACTAGACAAACCAAATTAAAACAAAACTTTATATATACATACTTTAGTTTCTTTTACATATTCACATGATAGACCTTGCAGATTGCTTAATAATAAAGATGTTCCTATAAGTGAACTCTTTTGAATAGTTGCCAATGGGAAGTCCTGTGACTGGAAGAAACTAAAATTAAACTGGAAGAAATCTGGAAGAGGAATCATTTTGCATTTGCCAGAAGATACACTGGAAAATCATAACTCTTTCTAATTTATATTTTGGCAAAGTAAATGATCCCAAGTTGAGAAAACAGACATACAAGATAAATACTGTATCTAGGAATGCTGCATTGGAATAGAATCCTACTCGAAGAAATAATTTCAATATTATTCTAGCACAATGATGCAGTTTTTTAGAAAAGGATGTTGTAGCCCTAGAGATCCCAATGACCTCCTAGAGGAAGAGCCAGGACAGAAAGAGAGGGGTGAATGGCCAGTCATTCATTGTCCCTTCCTCTTCTGCCCTAGCCTCCATCCCACCTATAGCATCAGTTATTGAAGCCACACAATTGTTCCAGAAAGGAGGTGGTGGCCTGCTTCCAGGGTGACACTGCCAAGACAGTATCCAATCCTAATGAGAGATGAAATCGTAGAATTAGGGGTTTTTTTCTCCTGTCTGCTCAAAAAAGTTGGTTTTGGACAAACAAACTGGCAAAATTAAATTAAACATGTGGTTGATAAATGAAGTGCAGAAGAGTGTATGGAATAAAAACCTGGCTACCACAGGTACTTAAAGTACTGTTGGCTCCCATGCACTGTTATTACACATCTTTTGCTGAAAACTGTATACCTTTCACAATTTTGAACCTCCTGTGTGTTTCCTCATATTTTCAATCAAATTATTACATACTAGAAATATGCATAAGGGAAATTATTCTACACATTTTATGGTGTGCTGTTGCTTGTAGCAGTAATTGAAGTACCTTTTCCACTTATGAAAGTACTAATTTTATTTGGTTTTATTGCTTTTCTAGATGCAATTATTTATTTAGTGTGTTTTGGCTTTATTAAATTATGTTTACTATAGGAACATCATAAAAATGTATGAAAGCAACACATCAGCCACTACTGCCCAATGACTTATTTTGGGGAATCTAGTGTTATTTTTCATATCCAAACATAATAGAATAAGGTAAGAGTAAAGAGATAATCTACACTGGAAAACAATGCAATTTTGAGATAATATAATAAAACACCTGGACAATATGATTTCATAAATCTTACTTCTAAAATTTACATGAGCTGGGCATTAGAGTGGCTATTTTAGGACATGCAGCATTTTCTAAATGGAAACATAACAAGAAATATGATTAAACAATAAAGGGGAAAACATATACAGATTTAGCTTATCCTGAACAACTGGCTCCTACAGAACAATAAAAATATTTCTACCTCAACAGATGTACTGCATCAGACTTAGGAAATGCAGAGTTTTACTCTGGCAGTGACCAACAGCTTTGTTTCAGAAGTTTTATCAGATTTATTTTTAGGAGGCTTTTCACATGCAGTGTATCATTATGCATTGAAGGTCTGATGTGACACTGAAGCTGGCAGCAAAATTCCCAATACCTTCAAACAGAGACTCAATATACTGTCATACACTAAAATAAAATCTTCAGCATTTGTTGGTGTTACTGTGGTGTCCACCCTCAATGTAACTTCTGTATTTAGCTTCTGTGCTACTGAATAGACAGGCACATATCATTTGAAATCTCAAAAGGATCTTTAACATAAAAGCAAAAAACAACTGAAGTTCCTAGAAACTGAAGTTAATACTTTGAAGATAGAAAGAAAAGGGTAATATAAAAATTTTTCGGGCATCACAGGAGTTGACCAAGAGTTTTTTCTGTGTCTTTAAGCCAAGGCCAGGATAGGAGAGATGTCTTTCTAAACACTGTGGTTCAGTTCCGTCCTAATATATTAACAAGAAAATATATGTTTGATTTCTCTTACAGTCTAGATCCACAGGAATTCCTTTTGTCATTGCACCAGAGAACTCAGTGAAAGCAGGAAATCTTCTGTGTTGTCAACAGCAGAGCATTTGATAGTAAATGAGGACGAGAAGTTGAGATTAAATAGGGCAGCACGTGGAGGTGGGGAAGGGAGGGAAGACGGTGTGAGCAGTGAAATGCAAAGGTGCCAGTCCTGCAGGCAGTGCCCTGCACAGGGCTTGTACTCACTTTGCACACATCAGCTGACTTCAGTGACACTGCTTGCAGCAGCAGCAGCTACACAAATTTTTGAGAATTTGATCTGCATGGAAGAAATAAGATCCAGATTATGCTGGCAAAGTGTAAACATTTTCACCCTGATGGAAACAACCTGAACTGCTGAGTGTGAGAAATTGTCAAGGCAAAAGGAGAGGATTCCAGAGCAGTGCAAAGGACAGGAAGCAGGGGAGCACAGGAACTGATTTCAGAGGGTATTAGATGCTTATCTTTTTAGGCAGAAGACAATACAATAATTATTCAAACACATTTCAAGGAAACAGGAATCATTTGTGTTAAATCAGAAATAAATTAGCAATAAATAAAATGTGAAACTTTTGGCCTTGGCAAATATTTGCAGTTTCTTCCTAACATTTAAAGACTGTGAGGAAAATCTTGGTTTATGAACTTTGAGCTGGTTTTTAGTTTACAACTGCCAGAGCGTTTCCTAGTCTGAGAGATGCAACATTTTCATGGCTACTTCTTGTGACTGCAAAAATTTACATGGCTGAAATGTTTTGGTTTTTTAATTGCCTTCTGCACTTCAACTTGAGGACACCAGTTATTCAGGTAGAACACAGTACTCAAGAAGATAAAGAACAAATTCTCTAGTTCTTCACTTGCCTAGGGCTGTAGAGCTTCACCCTTTTTTCAGGGAGCACAGACCTCAGTCTTCTACAGATGAACTGAAATCCATTTCAAGTACTGAGGGTCTTACATACAATTCCACAGGAACTCTTTTATTTGTTGCTACATTTTCTGAGGTGAATTAGACATGAACAACCCACTCCCAACTGTGAGCAAAACACACACACACAGGAGCACGATACAAAATTTTCCTCCTCTAAGGCACCTGAGTCTGGATGAAACCACCAGTATCAGTAGGCAGCTTCTTCCACACATGAGAAATTTGTTCAGTAAATTTTACTGACCATCCCCCTTAGCCAAATTTTATAGTTGTCAAATTCAATCACTGTAATAAAGCAGACAGTTTTGGTGGTATGGCCTTTGTTCTAAACTCTGATCTCATCTGTAGCTTGCCAAAAGTGGTGAAATTCCACTGGAATGGCAGTAATTCTATCCAGTTTTTTCTGCCTTCTGTGTATTTTTAACATTTTTGGTTCTGTTAAGAAATACACTGAGAGGCTTTGTGAGTGGTTGTGATTAGAGTTGTAACTGGTCCAAGGTTTACAGTGGGAAAGCAAATCTGGCATATATCTTTCAAATTGTGAAATCTGCAATTAATAATATTGGGAATTTAGTATTAAGGAGTCTGAACATTTGCTAACATACATCTTTCAAATCGGTAATAATTTTGAATTGTCAAAATGTTCTGTGTTTGTGAAATTAGAAGCAAACCTGAAAATCCTACTTAGCCCTGTTTCCAATTTTTAATATTATTTTTCTTTCATCATCTGTGAACTAGCTCTAATGCAGAGTAAAGTGATTAACAGCACAGTAGAATTAGAATAGGTAGGAGAAGAACTTTACCCAATGTTATAAAATATCTACGTTCAGTGGTAATGACATTATAATGAATTTGTTGGTTCTGTTTTGCAGCCAAAAATCGCAGAAGAGAATTTAACATATGCTGAACTTGAACTGATGAAGCCAATTCAGGAAGCCAAAGGCATTTCCAGTATGACAGTCTACGCACAGATACTCTTTGAGGAGAACAAGCTGTAATAGTTCATGCCTGTATTAATGTCCTTTGTCTGTGTTCTATTTAATTCTTGCTGTGCTCTTTATTTATAAAAATCATACAAATGTCCTTATTTTTTTATTTCCATTTATGCACTTCTATTTTTCTATGAGACTTTTAAACACGATGTAGTTGAAAGTAATCATAGAAAAATCAGCTGGCCAACAAGTGACATCCCAGAGATACCCTTTGTAGTGTTCTATACCCCTGTTGGAAATGGGCTGAAGTTCCACCTGGGGCATTTCTAGCACTAAACTTATTCCTTCTTTAATCTTAATGTGATGAGTCCAGCTGCAAACATCAGTATCTTAGCAGTATCCTCAGGAGGACTAACAGCAGGATCCATGCCCATCAACCTGCTACTGAAGGAAAAGACCACTGACCAGGAAAATGGCCCATCAGAAAAATATTAACCCAGTAAAGCTGAGACGTTTTTCTAAAGCCAAGGAAAAGCTAAAAGTACTTTTTCTGCTTTTTTTCCCCCATATCCAGAAATAGTTAAAAAGGTTTGTGTTCTATGTTTTCAAATTACCTTTCTAAATCAGATTGTCTTAAAAAACTTACGTTACTTTTAGTATGGTGTTTGGAATAAAATAATCTGAAGGAAACATTTACAGTTAAACCCCTGTGATTTAAGGAAGAATATTGATAGCGTGGGAACATCCTCCAGGATTTGATGATTTGATTTTTTAAAATTCTGATTGGAAGTAGGAAAAACTTGATAGTGAGTAGAAAACTGAGAGAACCAGGACACTGCTTTTGGTCTTGGTTTAATTTGGTATTTCCAAACCTGCAAAAGTTTCCTCCTGTAGCCTGAACTAATGAGCTGCTGATTTAGAGGAAAAAAATTACACAGCTTCTCCTTCAGTTTGGAACAGACTCTGTAAAGCTCTGCTGACTTTGGAGTTATTTCTTTGGAAAGACCAGGGCTCAGGAGATAGGGAAATGAGCCTACTGTGAGGACATAAAATAACAATCCTCTTTCTTTACCTCCCAATAACTGAGAAGGCATTCTTCCTTTTCCTTTGATACACATTCATGGAAAATGAGCTGTTCTGTGCCATCCCAGGCATTTCAGTCATGAAGAACACCTGGACTGATGTTTTCAAGCTCATGTATCTTCAATGTCTAAATTTCACCAAAGCCCAGGGAGAGTTTGATACCCAACATCTCTCCAGTCCTGGGAAGCTTTAACCCTTGAGTGACTGTGCAGTTCACAGAGATGTAACAGCATGGGCTCTTCAGGTCACCATCAGGTCATGGAGAGCTGATACCTGACACGTGCCAGGTGTTCTCCAGGTCTGTGACAGGCTGCTCATTCAGCAGTATTTAATGTGGATTTTGGAGAAGCACCCCTTTGGTTCTGGAATCATAACTAAGATGGTCCAAGTTGGTTCTTCCTTTACAGATGACACATTTTAGTGATAGAACAGCTTCTCACCAGGGCTCAGAGCACAGCTGGGAATCATCACAGCAACACTCATGCCCTTGTTGCCCTTGTTCCTGTTACTGCATGGGAGTGCGGGAGAGGAGGATGAGGGGACAATCAAGGATGGGGACATGGATCCAAGGGCAACCATATGACAGAGCACATCACTGCCTTTTGGAGGGGTTCACCAGAATAAGTGAGTCTGTGTAAACTGCTTTTTAACTTTTTTGAACATGGTAGAGATTAGGCAGCACACATAATTTGTTACTGTCTAGCCAGGATCTGTAAATATGAAATGCAGTCATCTTCTTCCACATTGGATAAAAATCTCTTCTATAAAAACGAATTTAAGAAAAGCTTATCAGGCTGACCGTTATGTGAAGTACTAATTCCAATTCTATTCATTCATCAAAACAGTTCTTTCCAAACTAAGGCCAGCTTTCATCAATAGATTTGCTAGTAATTATTTGCATTTTTAATGTTTGCGTTTCTGAGCTGTCAAAAAAGATGTTCCTTTCACCTTTGCATTATCCCAGGGTTTAATCACTCACCAAAAGGGCATGGTATCTTTCCTTGTTCTCTGATCAGGTTTTGGACTTCCAGTGACAACAGCAATCAACTTATTGTCCAAAACCAAATTGGTGCTAATGAGTGATTCAACATTGAGGGATCAATTTTGGAACAGCCAGTTTAACTGACTGTGCAGAGAGGACATCTGTAATGCAGACAGCTGTTCAAAAGGCCTTAAAAATGTAGAATTTATTAGTTGCTACTTTGGAACTTAAAATCCTAACACATTAATGATTTGACACTTAGCTGTGAAAACTTCCAGGTTTAGTTACAAATACGTCTTTTGCATAGAACTGGTCCTTGTGTCCATTGTTCAGAAGAATTCTCTACTGTATATTTATGCCCAGCATGTTAATGAATACCATTCTTTATGTATTAATAGCCTATATATTCTTGTTTATGTTTGATATCTAATTCCCCAAAATAATAGCTAATTGAACTGAATAAATTACCCTTTTTTGTAAGACTTGTTGTCTTAGTCTCTGTAGGATTTATTTCTTCCTAGAGAAGGATATTACTTCCTAGATTGAAGGATGTATGTTTATCTCTTACACAGCATTTAGAAAGTCACAGTATTTGGAATTGAATTCTTCATCCTGCAGAAAATTCCAGGCTTTTCAAATGTTTTCTATTTGGAACTGACTTCAAGTGGCAGCAGAATCCTGAAAGACAGCAGACCAGCTGAGTGAAACAAGGCCAGAAGTATTACTCTGGAGAACACCCACCTTCCCAAGCAGACATTTCCTGTATCTTTTCTTATGCAATGTCCACCTAGATTTAATAATATTAGATCATATCACTGGGGAAAGGAAAACATCATCTTGTAATTAATTGAACATCTGTAAGTGTCAAAGCAACCCACCAAAAGACTGTAGAGAAGAAAAATTCATTGAGTGTAATATGCTTTAGTGTGAGAAATGCAGAACAAATGGATTTAGCTCCTTTTAAGAGGAATTGCAAGGCCAAATTAATCCCTGGCCTAACTCTCTCTGGCTTTAGCAGAACAGCAGCAGAACGGAAGGTGGCCCACAGTTCTTCTGTGACAGGAGTTCCCATGAAGACTCTTAGTACATTTCTGAGTTGGTACTCTTATTAATGTACTCTTATAAGTACCTTATTAAGTTGGAGCCTGCTGAGTCACACTATTTTGGTTACTCCTTCTGTTGTCATTGATAAAACCATAGCTTTGTGCTGAAATCCTAACAAATACAGCTCTATTAGCTTCACACTAATTTAATATCAGATTGTTAAACGTTAATGTACTGCACCCTATAGCTTTAAATAGAATTAGATATGTTTACAGCTTTGGTTAAATGCACCTTGTTCCTCCACATTAAATTTTATTACTAGAATCCTCCATCAGCAAATAGGAGTAAATCATATTAGTGTTGCAGGCTGTGTGGGGGTTGAATCTGCAGCCTAAGGAAAAGGTATTTTATCATTCTTTATTACAACTTTCTAATTGGTAGGTGTGGTCAGCATGTCATTATCTCTGCAATTGCAAGCAAATTATTTGTCTAGTGTAACTGTAACGTAATTGTGGGGTTCTCTTCATTAAAAAGTTCAATAAAGTTGTATCCTTAGCCAGGATTTGGCCAGATGCTGCTGGCAAAGAAGCACTTAGACCAGGTAAGATTGCATTTAATGTTTAATAGGTAGGTTAAATTTTGCTTTTAGAGGGCTTCTCCAAAACACCCCTGGTGAGTGACAACCAGGTGCAAAGACCGTTTTTGGCTTCAGTCTAACCTGCCAGGATAAAAGATCAAATTCCTAAACTTTACTTCATAATAAGTGGTCATCTGAGTTTTCTGCACTGGTGGAAATGTTCTCATTCCATGTGCTTTGTTCCATGGCAGGTTTGATTCCATTTTACTACCTTGGCTGGATAGATCAAATGACTGCATGTCAGTGGAAGACTCTTGCATAGCAATAGGTATTTCAGGAATCCTCCCTGTCTTGGCACTTTATTGGGTCTCTCTTATTCCTTAGCAGCATTGCTGGGCTGTTTCCAAACCCCACAAAGGGCTTTTCAGTCTTCCCCACAATGGTCAGAAATGTTCTGGCAGCCCTTTGTAGGCCTCCTGCTGATACCTGCTCAGCTTTTCATTTTAGTACATAACAGGGACAGCAACTGCAGCTGTATTTCCCTGCTGTGAAGATGTGAGACCTGATCTGTGAGGATCTGCCCCTGCATCTCACACCAGGGAAATAGGAGCCCTAGGCAATCTCACTTGGGTTGTGCTCCTGGCTAGGGAAAAACTTAGGGGAAAGGGACTGGTTTGGTCAAACACAAGGTTTCTCTCATGGACTTGAGTTAAGCCTTGTTGAAACCTTACCTATTTGTCTGTAGCAATATTTTGCAATAAGGAAGTGAATGAAACACAAGAGTGCTTTAGGGCTTTGTACATAGAGCTGTGACAAGACAAAATCACCTTCGGGGCTTTTGCCTTCCTGTTCCAGACTGGCATCATCTTGGGCACAATTAACTGCAGTACATAACTAACCACAACCCCAGATCTTTCCTTGAGAAATTAGCCACTGATATTTTTGGATTATCCCGAGGAATGAAGAGGCCTGCAGGAACTTCTCTGACTGCTAACACAAACTCTGTCCTGACACTGGGGAGGGCGGAGGAGCACAGCACAGAACAAAGACATCACATAAAATATACAGGGCAAAAAACCACATGGGGATGTGCAACAGCTGTCACTTTCAAACAGTAACTGGATGGATGTTCTCCCCTTAACATGAAAGCAAATAAAAGTCACTGAATACTGCTCAGTGGTGCTGCACCATTTCCTCCACCTTTGATTCTGCCTGCTGTGCCTAGAAACTAGAATGAAAACTGCTCAGCACTGTCTGGGAAGGGATTTTTCAGGCAACCAGTTAAGCAGCTTTACACATCTCTTTCCCTTGAACTAGTCCTGTGGGGCTGAAGCCAGAGAGTTAGGCCAGGGATTAATTTGGCCTTGCAGTTCATCTTAAAAGGAGCTAAATCCATTTGTTCTGCATTTCTCACACTAAAGCATATTATACTCGGTGAAATTTTCTTCTCTGTAGTCTTTCAGTGGGTTGCTTTGATACTTAGAGATGTGTACTTAATTACAAGATGATGTTTTTCTTTCTCCAGTGATGTGATCTGACATTATTAAATCTAGGTGGACATTGCATAAGAAAATAATCATGGCCTAATCAGGTCAGAGGAAGGTCAACAATTTTGCTGTTCAGCTGTTATTTTCTACATGGCACCTCTTCATCATAAGTGGTCCTGCTTTGTAACTGCACTCTGCTCTCAGAGGAAAATACGCCCTTCAAATCCCCCAGGCAAACATAGCTGTGCTCACTTCTACTTCCACCTTGCTAGCTCTCAAAGAGCAACCAGAGGATAGAAGAGGAACTAACACAAAAGCCAAAATTAGTAAATCACCATGCACATGATTACAGCAAATGGCAAAGGCCACTCCTATGTATCACTATAAAAAATAACACTAATTGGGATGCTTTGCAATTTCCTGTACAACCCATAATTAGGTTAGATAAGAAACTAGCAGTGTCTAAGTGCTATAAATGTCTAAATTAAGTTATTTTGAAAGTGCTTGGCACTTTGACATTTGAGAGTTCAGAGTAATTGGGGTATTGAAATAAAATTGCTTCTGTTATTTAAAAGGTCATTATCTTCTTCGGGTAGATATATAAGGACTATTTTCTACTCTACTGAGCTGGTCTATTTGGTTCAATTAGACCTGCTTCAGTAGATTTCTAGTGGGCCTCCTCCCACTTATCACAGCCCCAGCACTGGCACAGAGAAAGGCCTGTAAATATACAGCCCAGATATGGAGTATATATTCAGCTCCTAACCAGGCTCTGGAGAGCCCAGAGCTTTCCCCATGTACAGCCCAGGCTGATGTACAACAAGGTGGCAAATGTGTCCTTACACAACAAAAGCCAACAAATGCTGGCTGAAGCCAGCCTGCCAGGCAGACAAAGGCTTTGGAGCAAATCAGGATTTCACCTTCCCAACCAAATCATCTCATAGTCTGGCAGCAGCTCTGGTTATTTCCATAATTACCGGAATTCCTTGTTTACAACGTGCACTGTCACACGAAGATATGCCTTCCCTTCCTGCTTGCTT